ATTGTAATTTATTGAGGGGCTAAATTACAAAAGTACAACATCTATAAATAAGGGGTTATGGTCCCTAACCTAGGGTTACATTCTCTAATTCTCTTCACCCCCATCTAAGAGAGAAATTCGGCTAAAGAGAAAACCCTAAGGTTAGAAGATCCAAAACCCAAAATCAAGATCAAGCAATGGATTCAGGTATAAGCTTCCGCTCTTTTAGTTCCTTTTTAATCTCTTTGAATTAATCATGGCTATATGGTTTTAGATCTCAAGTTTTATGATGTAGATCTAACAAGTGGTATCAGAGCCACCTTGATTAATTCTTAGGGATTTAAGTTTTATTGGGTTTTTTTGATCTTAAATCTCTGGTTAAAGATTTATTTTTTGGGTTCGGATGAACAGTAATGTTCTCGGATGAACAGTAATGTTCGGTGAACAGTAGCGAAATATTTTTTGGGTGACCAGTAAAGTATTTTTTCGGATGAACAGTAACTTTTGGAAATTTTTTGGATTTTTTCTTTGATTTTTCCTTCAATTTTTTCCAATTCTGGATCTGTTTTGAAAATAAAAATCAAAGGTTTTTTGGGTTTGTCGGCGGCGGTTTCAATTTGAAACCCTAAGGGTTCATGGCGAAAATTAAGGAGGTGGTTACCTCAAACGAACCTCGCGTTCGTTCAATTTTAACTGAGCTTCGCGATACAGAAAAATCGAGAGAATTAGAGTCATTGGGTTATTCGCGACTCTGATTTTGCGGGATGCCAAGATAGCAGAAAGTCTAACATCAGGCCTACATTTATATGTTAGCAGAGGGAGCCTATATCATGAAAAAGCTGTCAAACAAAAACTAGTTAGCGTCCTCCACGTATGGCAGCCAGAATTTTGTAGCTTGCTATGAGCGCATTCAATCAGGGAATATGGCTGCCAAATTTTGTCACAGGACTTGCGATTTTGGAAATGTGAAAGACCACTAATTGTTATATTGTGACAATAAATTGCAGTAATGTATTCCAATTAACAACAGCGAGCAACTAAGTAAAACATATTGACTGATTAAGTTCCTGGTTTGTGAAGAAAGCGGTACAGAGTGGACAAGATATCGCATAGCAGCACATTGGGCAAACTCCGATGTTTAGCCTGATCCTCTACTAAGGATTGCCCACCTAATGGTCTTTCATGAGCCATACAGTGCATATATGGGTGTGGTATTAGTTGGGATATTATTGTTTTAGTGGAGTTTGGATTTTTGTGCGTGCCTCTATGTGTGTTTGTATTGTCGATCAGAATAAAGTTTTAGTTAAGACACTCTGTTAACATTATGTTTGGTTTTGACCTTCACTGAAGGAGCGACAGTTTGAAAATAGACATGTACTATCACATTGCCGCATGTATTTTCATGCTGCACATCCGATGATTGATCATATATGTCGTTTGATTGTATTGGGTATATGTGACCATTGATGGTCGCAGTCACGATAAATATGACAGGCGCTTTGATCCTATATTGATATAGTCAATGGACGATAGATGTTCGGAAATACCATTTCAGTGATAGCAATTTTTTTGAGCCTCATAAGGTTATACACAGTTTAAGGAATATATGGTGCCCAAGTTGGAGATTGTGGATTTAATCTAACTAAATCTATTTGTGGGCCACATATGATTAATCAATGTGTATTGACTATCTTCAGATAACCCACTAAAGTGATCAATTAAGTTGGGGTTAATGAGGTATTTTAAATATAATCATGGCGCGTCATATTGTGCAGATACAGGTTGTAATTGTAACTGTTATTGAGGGGCTAAATTACAAAAGTACAAACAATCTTAAATAAAGCGGGTTCATGGCCCTAACCTAGGGTTACATTCTCTAATTCTCTTTCACCCCCATCTAAGAGAGGAAATTCGGCTAAAGAGAAACCCTAAGCGTTAGAAGATCAAAACCCTAATCAGATCAAGCCAATGGATTCAGTGTATAAGCTTCGCCTCTGTTTTAGTTCCTTTTAAATCTCTTTGAATTAATCATGGCTATATGGTTTTAGATCTCAAGTTTTATGATGTAGATCTAACATATAAATCTTCAAAAGCACACGAGAAGTCAAGAAATCTATAATTTTATCAATGTCACGTCGTACAAATCTAGCCGTATACATCAGTGTCCTAATAATCCTGAAAATAAGTCACGTGCATGCAACTCTCTCATCAAGTTTTTCGTTAGCAAGGAAAAAATATATTTGATTTCATGTTTAACACATATATAATACCAAAAAATAGCTTGGAAAAGTTCTAATATGAAATCGGTTAAGAAGAGTTGTAAAACAACAGATTTGATAACTTAGCCTTTTTTCCAAAACCAGTCAAATGTATGAGAATGGGGGCATGCATAGGTTAATGACATGGAATGGATATAGATGTGTATGTGGATAAAAGGGATGCACATCAATCCAATCTAGAAAATAGATTGCTCTATTTCCCGTCTAGATTAGTTCACCTAGACGGAATTCCGTCTAGTTTGTTCCGTCTAGAATATTTCCGTCTAGATTGGTTCACCTAGACGGAATTCCGTTTAGTTTGCTCCGTCTAGAATAGTTTCTGAACTATTTTAGTAGAACTCAACACTATTAAATCCACGTTTTTAGAATAATAACTTATAGATAACCCCTCTCATTCTTATGTAAATCTTGTCGGTTTGATATGTGCAAGTTTTTTCTAGATGGTCAATTGGAGGCAAATCTACATATGAAAACTTTTGAATGGCAGATGAAAAAACTTAAATGTCAAATGTTTGGATACTCGTTTTAATTTGTCATCATGGAAGTAAAAACGCTTATTCCTCTATTGCTCTAGTGGGATTAAAGTCAGTCTGACAAGTGACAACTCAAGACTTTGCAGAGCTGGAGAGGTCTTACTATATATATCAAAATGGACATTATAAAAGCAAAGATGAAATTTATTGCTACTTCCAAAATAACCCAAAGTAGCCCTTGAAGTAGTAAAAAAAAGACCATTAATATGTGAGTTGACAGACCAGTGGCTTTTGCACAGTAAAAGATCATTATTTTGTCATTTGACTGGCTAGTGACTATGCATGTGATTTTACATGTAAAAATGCATGGTAGAATATCATGTCTTCTAGAAGACTAGAAGGGCAGTAAATTTTTGTGCCTAAACAACAGGGGCAATGCTTAAATTCATTGCCAACCCTATTCTAGATGTCTACTCCATATATATTTGTTAAAGGATAAAAGTAACTTTGTAAAAGTTATGAACTTTTCGTACATCACACGTCATGTTTAAAGATGAGCTTCTATTAAGGGCTAAATATTAGAAGACTTTCTTAACTTTCAAAATATCAACAACAATAACAAGAAGCAAAAAAAAAAAAAAAGCCTTCTTCTAAGTATCGGGATTATCACAAAAACCTTTTAACTTTTAAATTTTATTTGAAAACCCTCCAGAAGGAGGGGTGTAAAAAAACAGTATATGATAATGCGGATCGCGGAGCATGCACGTGTTACATCATCATCATATCAGACAAATGAATTTAAGTAACACATCAAACTCCTAGATGATGTTAATTTATTGTCACATATATTTCTCTGCGGCCCACATCAGTAAGAGCATCTATAACAGCTTCCTTATTTTTCACTTTTAGAGAATATAGTTAGGTTTTTGGTCCAACAGATTCCTCATCTCATTCCCCCAAAATAGGTATGGAGGAAAAAAAAATGGGGAAGCTTCCCCAAATCTGCAGCATTCTCCAAATTTTTAGAGGAAAAATGGATTTTTCAAAATGGAGAAGCTGTTGGAGTAGGTGTAAAAATAATTTGAAGAATATAATTTTTGCTTCCCCATTTTAGAGAAAATTTTAGAAAAGCTGTTGGAGATGCTTTAACACAATAACATATTCATACGAGAGTACACGACACAACACTATCACATGGACCAAAATAACGTGGAGTGATACACAATCTTGGTTTGACCTATATTTTGTTTTTTATACAATAATTAAACCAAACCTTTGGAATTTGAGTACTGCACTAGACCTAGAAAGTTAATATAGAGCCGACAGCAAACTGAGTTAAATATTTTCATTTTAGCCCCTTTTTTAAGATTTAAGCACATGGGATGGGATGCTCTATTTTTTTGGTATAATAAACAATCTTGTCAGCTATGAGTAAATTGGACCTATGTGTAAGATAACGATGCTCGTTTGGTGAATCCCTCTGTGTTTTTCTTCAGAGATATATTGACCTGTTTTTATTTTAATTCTCTGTACAAATTTCTTTGAACATACTCATTTATCACGTCCCCTTTCATCATGCAGAGATCAATTATCAAATACCTTAGACACCTTCATTTAAAATGGCGAATAAAACACAAAATTCTTATTCGAAATCATAATTCCTTGTAAATAGAAGACATTTTATTAGAGGGCAAAGTATTAGATTAACATTTAAAGTGACACCAATTTTTTTAATAAGACAAAAAAAACTAAAACTAACCACAACAAGACTTAAAAAATAACACATTTAACCAATAAGATCAACTCCAGCCGCCGCCGGAGTTTTGATTTGAGCGACAAAATTAAAAATTTTTGCATAACTTACCCCTCAAATCTTCCACACTTACAATTTGCCCTCCAAGTTCAAATATTTGCAAGAAAACTCATCTCCCCGTTAGTTTCCTCAGAATAGAACTAATTGGTTAAATGTGTCAATTTTTAGACCATCCTGTCGCCAACGTCAACTTTTATGCCTCGTTGAAAATATGAGTATCACTTTATATGATAATATGATATTTTGGTATAATGAAGCAAGTTCCATCATTCAAGTAAACAATTGATTCTCCATTTCCCTGAAAACAAGCACCACTGTATCCTGAGAGTGCTGAAAACTCCAAAAATAAACTATACTATGCATTTGTTTATGTACGGTTAAACCACATAAACTGGAGTTCGTTTGTGTAAGATCACTTCAATATTTATTTTCTCCAAAAATAGTAATGACAGATGCTTGAATAAATCTCCCACCAGATATTTATGTCAATAATAATGATTATTGAAACCCAATACTCTGATGAACACCAGGATGATCAGTTGTATATAGGTTTTGTATTGAAAATAATACTGGTCTATCATTTAAAATAAGCTCTTAACAGTAATAACGTAGGCCATCACAATGTGATATGCACTCAAACAATTCTGCTCTCGTAGGTTTAAAAAAAGGGAATTTTTTATGCTTCATTTGAACCTCCTGCACACTTGAATACTTCATGGACTGCCGAAAAATCCAAGTCTCCAAGCCCTAGGCTTCTGGCTTTCTTAAATGCCTGTAAATTGAAAACGGAGGAAACATCAAAAGCTGGTTAGGATGAGATTATAAATATCAATGAGTCTTTGATGATTTTTTTTCTTAATGAAGCCACCGGTAATTGAGCCCAATACCGTGAGAGTCATATTGGAACCTCCTAACCATCCAGGTCATCCGAGGTGCTCCAAGTCTTCAATGATTTTAAAAGAAATTTAATGTAAACACATGAATAAAAGAAATTTAATGCCTTTTCCACCATTCCACCAATAATCAAGCCAATTTTCAATTTGTGTGCAATATAAGGCATAAATGAGGACAGCATCAAGATTTGAAGTAATAGCCTATACTGATACATATCAACCATATTGTATCAGATAAAAGACATGCTGATCTAACCCACCGATAACAAACTGATATTGTTGATATTGGATAAATAACAAATAATATGGGTTAACAGCAAATAGACCCCATCTAGTTCTATTTGTACATATAAACCCCCTAAGTGAATTTTAAAAGACTCAAAATGGTTTAGAGGAGGCGGATAGACCCCATGCAGTTCTATTTGTGAGAATAGAACTGCAATTGCTTTTTTTTTAGCTTTTGAAAGAGTCAAAAAAGTGCACTGATAGAATCTATCTGCACTTGGGCAGTTTTCTATTTCCTTTTTTTGGGGGGGTTTTTTGGTTGTTGGCGCG